GCACAGCTGGGGCCTGTGGCCTGCTGGAGCGCAGGCGGCACGGCTTGGCTGACGTGCACGCGAGGCCCCGAGAGGCCCCGAGAGGCCCCGAGAGGCATCCCTGGCAGAGGGAGATTTCTCCTACTTTGGCTTCTGTGAGTAAAAACATGAAAAATGGCTCAATATAGACCCATTCTAGTCCTTTCAAATTACCAAAAAAGGGGAGATTTTACAGAAGTAGGAAGTGTCCACTTTGACAGCTCCAACGGCACCACGAGGCAGACAGTGGCATCGTGGCAGGGAGCGCGGGCGCAGGCTCGTCAAGAGCTCGTCCGAGTCGGCGGGTGTCAGAGCTGGGCCTGCAGCTCCGGGCTCTGTGAGCAGAGCCTGCCTCCCACCACCACTCGGCCTGTCTCCCTGCACTGGGTGGGCGGGTGTGAGCAAGCAGACCCAGGGCTGTCCGTCCTTCCGTCCCTCCTTCCTCCCTCCCTTTTTCTTTCTTTCTAAGAGGTTTCTGTCTTAGGGTGCACAGGGGAGAGTGAGAAACCACCGCCCCCAGGGGATGGCCACACCCCAACCCCTCTCCTCCCAGGAGCTCAGGCAGACACACATGTGCCCGGTGTGATTTTGAAGTCCCCTGGTCCGGGACTCGAACTGCGGTCGGCCATGTGGGAGTCCAGCGACATAACCACTACCTCATCTGTTCCAACAACTTTACTTTTAGTAAGTCTTCTCAGACACCCTTCGGTCAGTACTCGCTTCCAGAGAGAACTCTCCGGAAACACCTGGGGCTATCAGCAGCGAATGGCCGGAAGCCCTCCCACTGGCCTGGCCTCCTACCTGGGCAGCCTCGTAGGTGATGGTCCTGGTCTCCGTGTGGACAAGAGGGACGTCCTTGGTCGGGATCTCACCCTTGGCCGCACTGGCCGTGTCCGAGATGGTGACCGTCTGCGTCTTTACCAGGGGCGGCTGTAAGGCAGCAGAGTGGTTATGGGCCTTCCGCCGCCGAGAGCCACCTTCTGACACTGACCTGATCCAAGGCCTGGCGCTAATCAAGCAAAGGGCTGGCTCGTCTCAGAGACCCCTGCCCAGGGCCGGCCCTGTCGGCAGGACCAGGTGTCAGAGCAGGAGGGACATCACCATCACCCCGTAAGCTAACGAAGGCTCAGGCGCCCCTTCAGAGCTGCAGCCCGCACCCGTCTGCCAGGCACCCGGACCGGGTCTGCCCGGCGCCACCCCCGGGGGCGAGCCCCGGCCACACGCCGAGCGAGGAGTGCAGCGGCCGCGGGCGGCGTCCCTCGGAGCTCTCCACTTCCCGATCAGCGTCAGACGCCGACGCCGCAGTTACTGAGCAGAGACCGGGGAGGAGAAAGCCACTCACCGCCACCACCTGCTCACCAGTGTCAGCGTTCAAGAAGGGACACGCGTGGAGTCAAAGGCCTGTCACTTCCCCGACAGAAAGCCACGCACCACCACCTGTCGGTCGGCAACGTCAGCTGCATGTGCGCAGAGAAAACAGAAAAACATGCCCCGACTTTTCCGACGGCCTAACAGTGGTGATGAAGCTGGCGCCGTCCACCGAAGCGTCAGAGCCCGTGCTGAGGCCCAGGCGGGCCTGAGGGTCGGTGGGCGTGGTGGGCTGCAGCGCATGAATGATTTGAGTCTGAAATCTCACAAAAGGACCGGCTGCTCTTCTGAGTAAGAGTACTAGAATTTTCGAGCATGGCCCCAGAATACTGACGTCCCCCCGCCAGGGGCATCTCCACTGCCACGCTTGAGCAGTGGGAGGAGGACGCACCACACTGGCCTCCTGAGGGCTGGCTTTCGCCCGGAAACTGCTGCCATCAGAGAAGGCTTTCTAGCCGTTTCCTCTCAATGAGTTCCTTCTTAGCAAACAGACTTGAATTCACTCTACAGTTTGGAAAAAGCAGAGCGCCCGCCGCCTCCACCTCGCCGCCACCTCGCCGCCACCTCGCCGCCACCTCGCCTCCACCTCGCCTCCACCTCGCCGCTACCTCGCCGCCACCTCACCGCCACCTCGCCTCCATCTCGCCGCCACCTCGCTGCCACCTCGCCTCCACCAGGGACAGACACCAGCCCTTTTCCAAAGTCAGGCATCGGACCTGCACCACCCCTTGGTTACTACCTGGAGACTTCGAATGAGGGTGGGGAACTGGTCACCCACACCACGGCCAAGAAGCGATCCAGTCTGTTCCCCAGGAGGCTCTGCTGGCGAGGCGCCTCCACTACTCTCTGCCCTCTCTCCACTGAGCTGCAGCTGGCAGGAAGCTGGTGAGGCCGAGGACGGCAAGGCACTGGCCTGCTCCCCCGCTCCTGGCCAGCCCCTGTGCGGGACTCTTGGCATTTCCTTAACACCAAGGCAGCCTGCTGTTCCCTGCGCCCCTTCTTCTGTCGCCTCGCTGCATGTGGAGAGGGGCCCTGGCTCGGCGCCCCGTGGAGGCTCCGACGGGGAGGCCGTCCAGCTCTCGCTAGGAACGACCAGCCACCTGGGGCCCTCCCGCGCAGAGTCGGGGTCAGTGTCAGTGGGTGTCCCCTTTGTCACGCCAGCCACATCCTCTGTGTGAGTGCCATCTGTCTCCTGCGAGTGAAGGGTCACACAAAGACGAGGTTAGCAACAAGCCATGCATCGGTGACCTTGAGCTCGACAGAGCTGCGAGGCCGGGGGCACTGATGCCGACCGGCTCGGAATCTCGCTCCCAGGGCGGCTGGAGGAAGGGCCGGTTCCCTGCACGCAGCAGCTATTGGCGAGTTCTGGTCTCCTTCTGGGTCCAGCCCCTAACACCGTTAATGTGGGGCCCCGCGAGCCCCGCAGGATGGAGCACTTGGCATTCTGGTCCCCCTGCGTGCGTCTCTCCGCACTCAGGGCCACATATGAAACTCACGGACATGCACGAGGCGCGAACCCCAAGAGCCTGAGCAGGAGAAGTGCTTCCCACCCCTGGCCACAGGCCTCGCTGGGCAGCCCTGCAGAGAGGGCCCGGCCCTGGCTGGCAGGGACAGGGGGCGTGCCCGGCAGAGACCGCGCCAGCCA